ATAAACGATGATGTAACCAAAGAAGAAATAACATTCAATGTTTGGATTTAAAAAATCCATTTCAAAATCTTGAGGGGAGGTTGTGTAGTTTTCAGCGTTCTGGGAGCTATACAGTTCATGTAGGGTTATAATGAATAGAGATTTTGGAAGGATCTGAAAGGACACATCACATACCCACTATTTGCGGGGCAGTGTGCAAAGACCGACATGAAGTAGTACAATGTGTAAGGGCTATGTCTCTCACGAGCTTTGGGCTCGTCGCCCTGATGATGGAGGCAGCAAGGACCTCTAAAACGTTTGTAAAATCCAGAAGATAGCCATCTTTTCATTTATGTTGAACTGAGTCGCAGCCGTGAAGACCTTAACATCCTTCGTACAAAAGTTTGTTAAAGCAGCCGATTATCCGAACCAGAAACCTGAAGGAATCAGAACAGTTGATCTTTAGAATATAAAAATATTTGAATGAAATTCAGAGAGTTCTTTCTTTCTGACTGACTAAACAATTAATCTAACTTTTACAAACGCTATATACAATCAAACCAGCAACTGGCTTTTAGTCGGTTAATACACAGTATAAATTGCGGTATCACTGTATTTCCACACCAAGCGCTTAGAAGAAGACCTGCACAAGAAGCTTTTTTTCGAAGCATCCAATATGGCGAAAACGGTCATAGAGGAGGAGTTGAACATGCAGACACCATGTTTGAAATCAAGTGACCTGGTTGTCAGAACGTGTTCTCTCTTCACCTAGTCGGCAGTAATCAAAACAATAGGTATCAGCAAACAGGATGTGATTAAACGTGTCTGAATTTATCCGTGCAGAATAATAGTCAGTCAATATGCGATGATTCATGAGGTATGTTGCAAACTTGACGTGACATGATCAGCATTCAGTATCCACCCCGCTCGGCAGCATGTATATGCATTTGGCTCGTTTGGTGACGACTGTGGTATGGAAATTATGCATTTCACTGTGAATTGCCCGGTCCCACTACCGTCATTACAGCCAGCCAGTACTGAATATTACAGTGTGAATATTACATCTCTTATCATCTTAGGTATGTTCTGAACCTTAGTGACCTTGGAGGTACAAAAATGCCCTGACACAAATATAACTCGAATAACGCAATTTTATGTTAAATTTAATACAGTAAAAGACGCATTATATTGAAATAAAAAGGAATTTAAGATTTCTAAGTAGCTTTAGAAAATAAAATGTGCGAATTTATGTGTAAAATTGGAATATTTTTCACGACCACTTAAATCGTGCCTAGGAACGCAAATTTGAAATACACGCCTATACAAAATATTGATTACATTAAATATATTCGTTCTATGACGAACACGACAGTCAGATGTTTTAAATAGAGTCTTACAAATTTATTTCAATCACTCCTTTAATGATAATGATAATTGTTGATTCGTTAGTGCCTATACAAATGTGTGGTAGATCTTTCGTCTCCGTGCTGTGGTCTGGTGGTTACTACGGTTCAAATATTTAAAAGATCGCGGGTTCTCTCCATTCCACAGCGTCACCACTGAAGTTAAAGAAGAAAAATGGCGGTATAATGTCAACAAGTCGCCTGAAGACGGAAGTAGAGCCAACTCCCTAAACGTTGGTACAGATCTGTTAATTGTGCCATGCAACGGACAACGCCCAACGTAATACTGGTTTTGAAAATTTGTTCCAGTTAAAGACCTAGTAATGTTTTGTCGGATTTTAATACATCAGTACATTTATCCAGTAGGCCTATGTGTCCACGCACACACAATAAACTACACGGTTGAAAAATGTTATTTTTTTTGTAAAACAGTTTCACATTTAGCCTAGATGTTGCAGTAGTACAAAAGTGTACTTGTCCCTGGTGGTATTAGTACACGTAATTTTATTAATTGCTTCCGAAGCTGCCATTTCCCTACGGAAATTAGCCATAAATCTGCCCGGAAATTGGGTTAAAGTAAATTTGAGGTTTTAATCGAATTTATAATACAGCATAAAATAATTCCGGGACCATGCCCCCACCGGGACATTTGCCACAGTTATGGTAGCCCTTAAACTGTGCAAACGATGCAACAATTATATGGCTGAATGAGAATGCTTTGTAAGTAGTCGAGGCTAGAAATTTGAACTGTCGTCCATTTCGTTTTGAATTTGATCTGCGCTTGTAATTCGGCATTCGTCTGTCTTAGCACCAAATGTCACGTTGGCATTTGTGTACCGTATTCTGGAGTTTGTAGGTTTAAGTTTAGGTCAGAAGACAGCTATCCGTACTCTGGGTTTTGGTGTCCCTGCAGATAGGCGCGCCTAAAGTTGGGTCAAGATCACTTCCTTCTTCATCCTTTCCACTTCATTATTCAATAATTATTCTACTTTTCAGTAATATTAGCAGTTTAAAACGTCATTTGAGTAAACCAAGAATGAATAAATAATTACAAGTAAATACCTATATAAATAAATAAAATAATTTTGTGGGCCAGCAAAATAAGTGCCAGTGGCCTAAACAAATATATGTTTCATACAGTGTTCTCTGCAATACGGATGCTGTAATTAGCATGTTCTATGGATGAAACACCGACATTTGGCTTAGTGACAGCATTTGTTTTGACTGAGTAAGTATCTGGGTACAGTGTTAGCTAGAGATTATAGTACTGACTGTTCTTACTTTCACCGCTTACATATTGTTTCTTAAACACCGCCTATCTAAAACCTGCCACACAAACTCTATGTATCCTTTTCCTCTGGCTTAAATATTGTGACGTCTGTTTCAGTATATAACAGGACAGCCTACTTTGGAGATGCCGTTCTGCTGTATATAAAACGATGTAATATTTTCATGAGTGAATACAGGGCGTTAACCTCCTGGAGTCATATAATTTGAAGCAAGCAAAATGCAGCGTCTTCTAAATTTGAATGTTTGGCCAACTTCCATTTATATAGTGCGCAGAAATTTAGACATTTAGATATGAAGAGTGATATAGTTTATTCCCATTGAGACTAGAACTGTCATGTACTTGTTCAGCTTACATATTTCTTTAATATATGTTTCTGTCTACGTTTACGACATTTGAACCGAATACAGAGTGTCGCAAAAATATGTATCCACGTTATAATACGGAATATTAATTTAATCAGTTCCTCACCGCTGTCAAATGTGTTACGAAACTAACGGTGATAATTTTGAACACTAGCACTGGATTCGCTAATTTACTAAGTGACAATGTTGACGTAAGTAATGATTTAGTAATTAAAATATCTTTATTTCATTCATTGTGTGTGTGTACATATTTTGGGACATTCTGTACACTTAATAACACAAGTATTCAATATGGAAATCTAGTGTGTCCTAAAACCATGCGATTCTTGATATTTGTCATAGGAAATCTTTATATCTGACTGACATTAGTTTCTGGTTCCATCAACAAGAATCATAGTTTTACTCTTAAATCTTAAATTTGAGAAGTTACTGAGTTATCCGACAATTTACCTTTGTAAATTTACAGTAGTTCTTTTCTGTATTTTGTTTCAGTAATCATTAATATGTATACGGGGATCTTATGTTGAATTAATTACATATCTTAACTAATTCATAGTTTAGGGCATTTTATGATAAGTTGATAGTCGAACATCTCGACAAAAAAATAGAACATTGATAGGGATAGATCACGATCATGCCCAACGGAAGCTTTGTTTAGCGATATTGCATTGGAGTTTAGCTACACCGAAACTAACTCCATGGAATAGATTTATTTGAGAAAAACTAGTAGTCGCTCAGTAATCAAGGAATTTTCTGCCTTTTATGAAGCACGAACTCACAATTGTGTTCACATGACTTATATCTGAACTCACAATTGTGTTCACATGATCCCACCACTGGACATTGCTTTGATTCAGATTAATCTAGTGTACATCCTCCCATCGCGTTTTAAAGATACATTTTAATATTAAAGTTAAAGATTCAAGGTGGTATGTAGTTTTATCCATTTCCTATTTTATATATTTTATACAATGAATGTGTTCCTATTGCTGCCTTTAAAATATAAGCTCTAATACCATACAGTTTCCATTATTCTCTCAAAGGCAAGCAGAAGGGACGTGGAAAAAGTCAATTGTCTTCCGTATCCGAAATTTTAACGTTTTTGAAAAGTAGACGAAACTAAAATTTTCAGAAAAAATATGTTGAATACATAAGTACTGCTTTGATGTAGGTTCGTTAAACAACATAGAAGAATGTATAATTCGTGTTTGTATTTTCATATGGTTTTACTCTTTGACCCACGCAGAAATGATGGGACACTAAAGTAAAAAATATCCTAAAAGGGCTATTTGTAATCTTAACCACAATTTGGAATCTGCAGTCTTAGGTTGACTGGGTATGTGAATCTGAACTTGATCGAACTGGGCCGAAACAGAATTTACTAACGGTCATTGATATTTATTTATCTTTGTTTTGATGTGGACATTCATTAGGCCTATTGAAAACGCCCACAAGGGCTTGTTTCAGAATTATAATTAAGGAGTTGCTTATATCAAACTCGCACTTAGTATTCTGGAAATATAATTATCACTCATTTTCATATGTACCGTTAATAACGGTGATCAAGTAAAGCATTATTATGTAGACAGGTAATGTAATACAAATGACATTTGAGTCGGAGAACATGAAGAGATATTTTGGAAACTTAAACATCGATTGGAGGATAATATTAAAACGGATCTTAAATGAATAAGGCATGGGGTGTAGACTGAATTAAATTGGTTCCGGATAAAGTCTTCTGGAGGGATGTTTTGAACATGGTAACGAAACTTTGGGATCTGTAAAATGCGGTAAATTTTATGGCTAGTTGAGCGGCTGTTATCTTATCAAGTACTTCTCGAGTTAGTTCATTAGTCTTAATGCAAAATTCAGATAAAACACAAGTTATAATAAAATATGAGTTAAGGAAATTTGAGTGACATTTTTTTACATGTTCGTTTACTAATTTTCTATTATTATTTTCAGGTAAGTATCGTCATGGATTTCTCCAACTGTTGGGTGAAGTTGCTTCCAAATGAGCTTCTGTAGATAAGGTAACGATTCGACTTTTTCTGCTTCTGTCTCATGAAATTATCCTCATTTATTGGACGATTGTTTCTTGTCATGGCCGTAAAATTAAATATAGAGCATTGGACTTCGGAATGATAAGACCAGTCGCTATGTATGGTATATGAGGCACGTTCGATAAGAACTCGATCGATGGCGATTATCACAGATCGAGTTTGAATGTAAAGTCACCTGCGTTGCACCTTTCGCTCATCATTATTCACGTCAACAGACGTTCTGATGTAGCCGATACCATGAAGTCTCGTTACGTGAAATGCGTTGCAAAATTTTGGAACATTTTATGTTCAGTCGGAATGTCTTCTCTGCAGTTTTCGTCTTGAGGTTTATGAAGAAGACATTCGGACAACGAGATGCAGGAGACATTGAACGACTGGTTTTACCAGCAATCTTACAACAGATTTGTCTGCTTATTGAAATATTGTACTAGATTCATTGAATTCCATACAACTAAATCTTGAGAGACTCCATTTTCCTGTATGGTGTAAGTTCAGAAACGTATACTCCAGCTTTTAATTAACTTTCAAAAGCATCACTCGTTGTTTTATTAATCGACTGTTAATTGACATATTTCCAGATGACCTTGATTTCTACACATCGTTGAACTGTAAAGGAATATGTAATCTGTTTTCAGTACAAATGTTGATTTATTTCGGTTGTTAAAATATGGCAGTCTAAATCTGTTCAATCATTTTTCCATTGACATTTGCAATGGATATTCCACTTTGTAAATTTCACAGTGACATATTCGAATTAGATGTAATTGGAGTAATTAAAAGTTACAGGATGTTCAGTGATAAACTGTACTACGTAGCTGAATATGAGTTCATATTTGTGTAGACTTACTTTTCAAGTGCAGTTGATCTAATTTAATTTGAACGTAAGCAGGTACAGAATTTAAAATTATGAATTAATATAATAAACTGCACATAGGTTGTAGATCAAGTCATTTAATGCGAGCAAGAAATTTAGAAGTAAATTAAATTAACTTACATTTATATGTAATTTTGTATTGCTATTGCCAGTAATTTTTTTTATTTTCTTAAGTTTATATTTTTCATTCTTCTCGATTGACACTGCGACACGCCATCTGTTACGACCGACATCAACTTCCTACACACACGCAGAAATCGTGACGTAATTTTCCTACATAACCACCTCCTTAACTCAGGCCCAGAGACACTAGTACCAGCGTGAAACCATTTATTGATACCGTCAGCAAAGAAATCCTGGCCAAACGTCTGTAGCCAGTTAGTCACTACCACATCATCATTTACAATCCGCTGCCCCTATAAATTCTATTTGAGGGGGCCAAAGTGGAGCTGTGTGTAGTATTATGAAGCACGTTCCACCAGTACGACTAGAATAATTGTTGGATCTGTTGGCTTGTGTTCGGTGTGCATTGTCATGGAGCATTATCTCGCGTCTTATCTTTCGCTGGTGAATTTGCGTTGGTTTGTTGAGACGTATAACATTTTGAATTGTCATGGAGCATTATTTCGCGTCTTATCTTTCGCGGGTGAATTTACGTTGGTTTGTTGAGACGTATAACATTTCTCACCTCTGTTTTTGTCCATCACTGAAGTCTCGCTCGCTTTTTGTTTTAGTTGTCACGTCCGCGCAGACCGATGGGGGGTCTTGTCCCTGTTCGTACGCCCTCGACAATTATAGACGAAATGCTACCACTCGTGAACATTTGCCTGCTTTTACTTTGCTTTTGGAGAACCTTCGTACATAATAAACGATTCAGAACATTGTGATGTATACATATTCGGACAAAACTATAAGGGGAATGGTTGGATGGATTCGTGTGATTTTGACATCTGAATGTAAATGTTAGGGATCAGATTATTGATAATATTATATCCCGAATTCTGTGAAGGAATAGGCGACAATTCCGCGTGTCTTAAAAAGAAAATAAATTTGAAAATTACTAATTAGTTGCTAGAAACTTTCCCGCGAAAAATGACAGGGAAACCTAAAGTAGTTCTTAGAAAGCATTCTTGTTGAAAAGTCTAACAAAGCAACATATAGAAATTAAAATAAGTACTTCTATTAATTACGAAAGCTGCAATATATTAACATGTAAACATATTTTGCTGCATCGTGTAGAAGTAAATGTACATAGCAGGCCATGGAATGGATGAATGAATCGTGTTTTTCTTCAGTGCATTGTTTCCATAAAACACCGTATAAAATTTAAAAGAATATAATATTATGTAACAAAAACAATGTTTTTACATATCTTTTGTTAATTAAGAAATATATACAATTTAATTTGGTGAAATATAAAATATGATCTTATATCTAGATTATAGCTGTACTGCGTTCAGTAGTACACAATCGGCAATAATGGAGGTACATGTACATCGTAGGCTGTGGATGATCACCAATCGGCGCTTGCCAATTGTATAGACAGACTAGTAAATTATCCGTTAATAATGACTGTGAAAATCTAAAGTAGAAAAGTCACATTGTCATAAGTATTATCCAATAAGGGCCAGAATCCTTTAACATCGTTACCATAGCAACGGTAATAACACACATTTGTACTAAAGTCTGTTGTCAGCAAATGTTAGCCAAGCTGCCATCCAAAGATTAGCTTTTTTGTAGACAGATGATGTTCTTTGGTCATATCTCCCCAACCCCGTGTCTGAAATTCGGTTGCGCTGAACGAAGTTAAGATTGGCGCTGAGATATAAGGAGTTACATATTGTGATGTATACCACTTCTGTCCTGGCTTACAATATAAAATTAGTGTATTTCCATGGTAACGTATCTTGTTATAGAAGAGTAATGAACAGTTTACATCAAAACTGCTGAGAGGTTCCGGAACTCGTTCTGATGGGCTGAAACCCTAAACAAATCCAATGCAGATTGCCCAGAACATTTAAGCGAGCTATCCCGTGCGTGGCATGTGACGTCATGTGCATCTTGTCGTTGCGTTGTTGAGTGATGTCAAGTTGTATCAAATTTTCGAAGACAGTCTCATAAGGCAACCGCCATGACATTCCACGCGACACAGTCCCTGTGTTTCGGCTACTATTTTAAGACACCGAAGGTCACATTGCTTGGCTTGAGAAATCGTGTTAGTTGGCAAAACGTTTTATCTGCAAGTACCAAAATGCCAGGATTAATTAAGCTTGTGTGTGATGGAGGAAGTGAGACATCACTGTATGGTTTATGCTGCCACCTGTCGGGGTATTGTAGTAAAGTGTGGGTTAAAGCGTGTTGTGTGCATGTAGTGTATTATTTTCGCTTTCACTATTCATCTCGTGGGAAATGTACGTGTTTTCGCGTCTGATATTCACACAGACAAGTCTGATAACATGCTATTTTGTGGCTGGTGACAGACGTTAAATTTTAATCAACCAATCTGGACGTGGAATGGCTTATGTTGGTGGGTCAGCAGTGAAATTAATGATTCTCGTTACTTCAGAAAGCGTTATTAAATATTTATATAAAGAAACAGATAAACAAAAGACAATTTTCTGCGTGTATCATATTTTATTCCTGTTTTTTCTCCTTTCTTTACTGTTATGCCAGTAATTTTCCTTTACATTTACCACATCATCGTACACACTCAGGCTATTTTAACAGCATTGTCATTATATTTTTAATTGTTTTCCCACTACCATTTTTATTTACTTTTCAATTCTCATTTCATTATTATTTTTATTCCTTGACTTTCGCATTTCTGTAGAAGGAATCAGGGCTGGAGGTTTCTTGAATTACGTATCTTATGAACCAAATGGTCTCCTTCTATATCTTTACTCACATTTTCGCCCGCAGATTACTCGTCTCCTGGATGATAAAATCATTAAGCACCTCTGAAACGTCGGCCAACTTGTACCAGACTACACGCCGCATCAGAAAATAAAAACCATCTTTGGTACTGGCCTACATGATACATAAACACACAAACTGGCTAAAACGTTCATTCTTAGTCCTGGTTTCTGAAATAATTAAGTGGCGTTATTAAAGCCTTATTAAGAGCAGGCTTCATTTCCCGACAGGGTCAGGGATTTTGTTTTCTCCACCGCATCCAGACCCGATCTGTGGCCCACATAGCTATCTATTCAACGGATTCTAGTGTTTATTCCTTGGGGTGAAATCGGCCGGAACGTGAAGGTTACCACCTGTGTCCAGTTCCTAGGCTAACGCACGTCCACTCCCCACGCATCTCAATGGTGCGGTGAGTAGGACAACTTAACCTTTGCCTATAGGCGCTGTGTGTACTGCGATCGCTTCATCGTGGAAGTCCCGTGTGTAACTTTGCTTGACCGTCCTTAACCCCAAAGGATAAGTATTACGAACAAAACGTAAGAAGACATGCTGTATCGCATTATCTTTACGAAGTTCAGTCTTTTTATGACGTTTCAGATGATTTTACTTTGTAGTAAGTGAAAACAAGAAATTAGGAAATATTACATTTCTTCATCGATGTCGAGTAATGTTGCGCCGTTGTCATACTTCAGAATGTATTCTTTCCAAATTTTAAACGCCAGGGTCATCGAAAGTCTCAAAGTTTATTCATGGCGTGTCTTCTATTTGTCAAAATATAAAAAATTTTTGCATTGGAATCAGGAAACATAAGAAAGTGTTATATTAAATGTTGAAAATGTCCATCGCCTTCAGCGATGCACGCATCCATTCTCTTCCTCATGTTTGATCTCGCTGTAAATTCTTGAAGTTCGAGTCGAGGAACTACGTTACAACATCGCCTCAGGTTTACCAACGGTGGACTGGTCGTGGTACTGTTCGGTAATGACCATCACTACAAGCAGCTGTCAATGTTGAAATTGTATTGTTTAATCTTTCTTATGGTCCGTGGCCAGTCTTACAAATAGTAGTATGGGGTTCGTACGAAGGCAAGCCACTACAGCTGATTATTCTCATAGCAAAACAAAATTAATATCTGTGTGGGTGACGTGTGGACGTTACAGCAGAAGGTA